AAGGTGTTGGTGTTAACCGGCCAAATGTTTCAATCAAGTGCGAAGAACGCGTCCCGACATTTCGTTTTATTATTCTGCGCGTTTGCGTTTGTGTTGCAACTAGCTTTTGGTTCCGTTCAGACTTAAAATGAAACCTAGTATAATGAATACTATGTAACGAAGTGTACGAGGTGTTGCCTCTATTGACACCACCTATACTCGGTGAAAGATTAAGAGTAAAGTGGAAGCTCCTCCCACCTTTTTCCACGTCAGCAGAGCGGACGCTGGAGAGGAGGCAACCTCCTCTCCAGCGTTCGCTTTTCTAAAGTGGAAAGGGATGAAGGAGTTTCCACTCTTAACTTTTCGCTGACTATAGACCTTTTCCACAAGGGCGCCGCCATCTTGAATTGTCGTCACTTCCAGTATGGGCGAAAACATTACTTTGCCGTCGCCACGCCAATAGAACACATTTAGGATATAAGCCTAACCGTCACACATTCTCGTTTTGGCTCCGCTCTATTTTTTTACTGGTTACAGGTTGAAACGTTTTACTATTTTGTCGTCGCCCATACTGGAAGTGACGACAATTCAAGATGGCGGCGCCCCTGTGGAAAAGGTCTATAGTAAAGAAGTCCCTTTCGTCTCCATACGGCATCACTAGTAGTGCCACGTAGCTCCGCCTAGCTTGGGTCAGCATCACGAACAGCGCGTCTCGCCGCGTCTCACAGCGACCGCGACGCTAACACGTGGCGACGACAAGACGGACGTGTCTGCCGCTTTTAGCAGTCGAGTTTCTGCCTGATTACCGCTTGGGGATCCACTAAAGGCTCTGTCACATTGGTGAAACAGTTGGATAACTCTGTCCATCAACACGATCGAGGGAAACGGGTTTTCGGCGACCCTATCACATCGAGGCAACAGCATCTGTCGGGAAACTTTTTTTTTTTTTTATCGCCCGGCAATTGTGCTTGTCGATATGTTGTCCTACAGTCAGAGAACACCGCGTCACACCGCGCTGACGGCGCCGCGGCCAACACGGGGAACACTCCGCCATCTTGATTGTTTACTTTCGTTCGTGCGCGGCGCGGCAATTGTGACTCTACAAAGTGCTAGCGCGCCCGAAGGGCCCGAAATTACCACTGAACGACACCAACCTGTGACCTTTATTTTGTCAAAATTTTCCTCGTTAGCTGACGAAGTAGCTATACTCCGTTCACCCTTAAGCTGAGACTGCAGCCAAAGCTACAAGCGCGAGCTGGCCCCCGCTCCAGGCTTTGAGACTGTTGTAAAGTACTACCGAATCGCCAGTGTGGCGATATGTTCTACAAAGAACTGAAGAGCCATGACAATAAACGTCTTTTCTCCATGATGGCGGATTCCGAACAACGCCGCTCGCGCACTCGGCTCCAGAAGAGCGTGCGTTGTCGTCGTCGTCTGGTCTCGGTTCCCATCATCTCTTCCCCCTTAAAAAGAAGATTGGAATGGCGGATCCTGTTTCCTATCTGGAGTCGAGCGCCTTGGAAATGGCACAGGAATTCAGAGGGGTTGGTTCTGGGTTGTTGAGAAACTTCTAGATGGACTTGGGTTTGCGGGACTTGCATTAGTGTGATTCTGGTCTGGTAACGGGTCCAGACCTCGTTCAGCTAGAGCTCTGTCGCACGGGAACTCGCCCCCTGATGTTGTAGATGTGAGTGGCGGCTCTGGGGTGCTATGTTGCGCCTTTTGCACTCCCAGGAGACTTGGAAGAAGGAAGTGATGTCAACGACTAGAGCAAACGCAGATTGAATGTTGACAGAAGAAAACGAAATCAACATCCAATCTGCATTTGCTGCGTTGTTGACGTCACTTCCTTCTCCCTAGTCTCCTGGGAGTGCAAAAAGCGCAACATAGTCCCCCTGGGTCAGTCCATTCGGGAAACCCAAGTGAGTCTTCTGTCCGCCGCTGGCGAACTTGGTCAAGATGGCGACGCACCAGGTCCGAATGGGCTTGTATCGTCACCTTGCGTGGGCCTTCCGCGCTCTTGACGATTCCCGGCAGTCACTTTGGGCCCTTACCGAAGTTTCGGAAGGACACCTTTCTGCATGGCTTAAAAAAGGGCGGAGTGGGCTCACTCCCGCCCTGTGCAGTCAGCCCTGACCTCTTGTCCGGAAAGCACGTGTCCAAACGTGACCGGATCTGGTATCCCAAAAGTAACTGGGATGGAGACGTGCCCGGAGCCACAGGCGTGCGCCGATAATTGAGAAGCAGTCGGCGCAGCTTGATGTCCAGCTTGGACCCTGTTGTCTTCTTCAAAGCATCCTTAACCGTACATTGTGAATGATAGGGCGCCGTGTGGTAGTGCTTCACGTAGTTCCTCTTTAACAACTGAGAAAACTTATCACTTGTAAATAGTGTACCATTAACCGTGACGACCGTTCGTGGAATTCCAAAGCGACTGAACAGCTCCCGAAGTTGTCGGATTGTGGAATCCGACGTTGCATGATTGGTAGATGTAGCTTCAATTCACTTCGAATATGAGTTGACGACAATCAGGATCATCTTCCCGTCGACGGGCTCAGCATAATCCAAGTGTAACTTCGACCAGGGTTCACCGGTCACCGGCCAGTCAACAGGTTTCTGTGCTGCTGGCATAGAAGCCGCTTGAATGCATGTCTCACATCTCTGGGTGAGGTGTACGATAGCGAGCAACCGTCTTCATGGCCGGCGCACCTTTGTCGGTCTCGTGAAGGAGCTTAAAGACAGCTTCGCGGGCCTTTTTTAGAACGACGACTTCGTTTCCCCAGTACAGCAAGCTGTGAAGCACCGAAAGCTCGTCTTTCATGCTCCAGAAAGGTCGAAGCCCCTCTTGCTCCACCGATAGCTTGCACGGCCATCCGCGCTGGACATAACTGATGACGCCACGCAACGTATTGTCACACGCGGTCATCCGTGCCATCTGTTTCGCTGACACCAAGCAGTTGTCGAGCTCCTCCAAGGAAACAATTATTTCAGGAAGCTCCTCCTCTTCTAGTTCCTGTGGATCCACTTGAAGGAGAAGTCTACTAATGGCATCGGCATTGGCGTTACTTGTCCCTGGCCGGTACTCGATGCGATAGCCGTATCCACCCAGGATGATGGCCCACCGTTGAATTCTAGCCGCAGCCATCGTCGGCACGGCCTTGTCGTGATGGAAGGCTTGTGATTTGTAACCAAGGTGAACTCCCTACCCAACATGTAGTCCCTAAACTTCGTGACAGCGAACACCAATACCAAGGCTTCTCGTTCCAGTTGGGAGTAGTTCTTCTTCGCACTCGTCAGTGTCTGAGAGCGAAAACCGACAGGCTTTACTTCACTTCCACAACGATGGGAAAAGATGACGCCAATTCCATGTGGTGAAGCGTCACATTCAAGAAGCAAGGGCTTTGTAGGGTCGTAGGGATCTAACATGTACTCACTCAGGATTGTTTTTGCTCGTTGAAACGCCCTGTCTTCATCTTTTCCCATCGTTGTGGAAGTGAAGTAAAGCCTGTCGGTTTTCGTTCTCGGACACTGACGAGTGCGGAGAACTACTACTCCCGACTGGAACGAGAAGCCTAATTGGCGTTGGCGTTCGCTGTCACGAAGTTTAGGGACTACTTCTTGTAGTCCCATCCTCTTCGCCAATGTTGTAAAGTACTACCAAATCGCCGGTGTGGCGATATGTTCTACTAAGAACTGAAAAGCCAGGACAATAAACGTCTTTACTCCATGATGGCGGATCCCGAACAACGCCGCTCGCGCACTCGGCTCCAGAAGAGCATACGTTGTCGTCGTCGTCTGGTATCGGTTCCCATCAGAGACGCACATTTCTAGCGCGAGCACTCGTTCTGCGGAAGAACGTTTCAAAGCAGCAACCTTGTCCTCGCGTGCTTTTTAGCTTAAGGGTGAACATAGAACACCCCTAACTGAGGAAGGCGTAATCGCTGCTATGTTCGTGAGTCATGCCACCGTATGAAGGGTGGTGTTTCGGTTTGGTTTTGTCTTTCGTGCAATTCTTATTCCTATAGTGTACCCGAAAGTGTATTTTGGAGCTCTGTGTTGAGCTGAACTGACAGTGCTTGATAAGTGCGACACCTACACGATCGGCCATTATAAGGGTCGGTGGAATAAATAGTTTTCAACGTACCGCCCTGCTACGAGATTGCCTCATTCCCCAAAAACGTCCTGGGATTTTTTTAACGATTCATGTGTCTGGCAGGGGCTGTTTTCAAGTTCATAGCATCAACAATCATGATCAAAGCGGCCTTTTTTATGCTTCGATTGCTTCATTTGCTCGCTCTCGTGGATGGGTTTTATTAAATTTTATGAACGTGTGGGTTGGCACGCCCTTTCATTGCACTAGCAGTACTCTGAGCTGGCCTCTTGGCAGTTCTAATTTCAACAACCGTCTGAACGTTCACGAACGTAGCCATTTCGACAATCGCTTTCCGTAATTACTCAGTGAAAACATTGATAAAATTATTTTAGCTGCACGCCAGCCTTAATAATTGTCAAATAGCGCTTGTGACGCCTTTGTTTGAGTAAGCTCTTAAATCAACACGTTATTTATAGGGAACTCTGCCATCGAAGCTATCTGCGTTGTCGTGTTGACGGCACGAAATTCGCTCACCCACTAATCTGAGCAACACGCGTCGTCCAACAAAAGTTGCTGCTGTTTTTGTTGCCGAAAGCTGTCACAACGAGGCAACATTGTTGCTGTCGCCTGTGTCGTGCTGATGTTCCCGCGACATGACAGGCTTGTTGAGGGCAACAGGGGGACTGAGAACAATGTTGGCCAACGGTTGGTGAACATGTGTTTCTGTCGCCACCGGGTTTCCTCAATCTGACAGCCTCTTAACGATGACGTATTGCACAGGCCTTGACTTCTAATGCGCTATTGCCTAGTGAGCGTATTGCGTGACAGGAATAAGCGAAGTGGGGTGCAGTCTGCACCTGATTCATTATTTGACGTCATCTTCGTTTTACAAATGGTCCGCGTGTCCCCCTTTCTCCTTCCGTTCCAGATGAGCATGTACGACGCCATGAAGGCCAAAGTACGCATGTCCATCACGGGGACCCAAAATGGCGAGCGGAGCCTGGATCACGGGGAGCGAGGAAGGGTACGCCAGGATACTCTGTAATTATGACGCCTACTCCTTTTATTTCTCGAGACCCGCCTTGCGCGCTGCGGCAGGGTGCGCTTGGACAAGGGGCGTTCTAGCCCACGTCCGATCGATGCCTCTTTGCTGTTTATTTGTATTTTTATTATTAATATTGATGTGAAATTTGACTATTCATACTGGCGCTATGAGAACGGCAGGCGATAATTCCAGATCTCCCGCTTCCAAAGCGGTCTTCCTTCCTTCCATTACACTTTTTGTCGTTAAAAATCCGAAAATTAAGAATAAAGAAAAAAAGTGTGTTTTTAAAAAAAAAAATAGCTCGCATTAGAAAAAACTAATACGCTATACTTGACCCGCCATAATGAATATTGGAAGGATCCCAGATGCAGGTCAAATTATGAGCAGCACATGCTTCGCTGCTTAATTCCTTAGCTTCGAAACAGCTTTGGAGAAAGAACATAGAAATCTAGAAACAATATTTCCCAAAGAGTTGCGTAGCATTTTTTTACATATTTGAACTTCCTGTGTCTTGTTTCTGCTATTTTCATTTGCTTATGTATAATATTCTGTCCGTGATTGTTCTTTGTTTTCATTGTACGAAAACTGTTGTTCGATGGCTGCCAATGGGGCTGAGGGACAGTCAAGCTTTTTGTTAAAGTTTTTTTTTCCCCTTTTTGCTCCACTATTTCTTTCTTTAAATGGAAATTAAATGAAAAATAAATAAAAGATTATTATAACTCTCCGGCATTTCTGGCAATCACGTGACGCCAGCGACAGCCCGAGATCAAAAAAACTTCTGGACAATATGGGTTAAGCGACGACGCACGAAATTGCTTTGATGTGCTTCTGGTGTACCACACTTGATTGGATCCTTTGACAAAATGAAAAATTTCCTGGCATTGAGCCCAATATCTAGTTCCCATGGGGCAAGATGATACTGGTCAGTTTTGTGTGTGTGTGTTTTTTGGCGTGTGATCTTAGGGAGGAGAGGAATGCTATTTAATGCACTGGTTTAACTTCACTGAGGCAAAAGCTGCCAAGAACTGAAAATCCACAAAAAGATGAAGCGCGAGAAAAAAAAACGTAGAACAATATTTTTTAGAAGTATTACGGCGCTTTTGTTTTATAATTATATTTTTTTAGCTTTACATTAAAGGTTTGTTTGGAAGGTACGTATAAGTTTAAAATAACCTCCGGGACCAAAAAAAGTGTCGTTGCTGCTGGTCGAAAAATTGCTTTCGACGCGGTAAGCCGTACTTTGCCGTCGTCCTGCACTGTTATAATAGCAATAATAGTAAAATTTTATTCACAAAACAAGTGAAACAAACGCAACGATAAAGAGAAAGTATGACAAAAATGTCACTGAGCTTCCACATCACACAAGGTGTGTGTAGTGCCATCACATAGCAAGCGCGCGAGAGTAGCTGTACAAATTGTTTAATTTTTTTCTGCAAGAACTTAGACAAAACAAAAAAGCTTGTAAAATTCCAAGTGGTTGGCTTCCCCAATATTTTAAGTTAACCGTTGAAAATTGAGCGTAGTGCATCTCTACTGTGTAGCCTGTTACGCAGCGTAATATCCTAAAGAAAATCTACGTCCTGCGAGAGCTTTCTTAATTTAATGCCACTTCGTCACCCACGTATATACACACGACACAGAGGCAATGAGCACGCGCTGGGGGCCGCTTCTCCCGATTTTTTTTTTTTTTTTTTTTGTATTGCCAGATTATAAAGGCCTGTTCGCACACACAACACGGCGCTACCACAGCGCTAATAGTCAACCCCGGATATAGCGCTCACCTTGCCAATGCAGCGTTGAGTTTGCGGTGTGTTAGAGCATAGCCTCCTCTATACTGACAAAGCCAGGCAGACCGCCACGAGAAGCGGCCGCCGAAATGAAAAAGGTGGAGCGGCAGACAACGGATGAGAGGAGAGCCTCGTGACTGGCGCCCCACTGCGGCGAGACGCCGAAACAAACTTCTCCCGAGCGAACAAGCGCGTTTCGCCGCTGCAAAATTTGTGCGCTGACGTCCAGGGTCCCCGAGAATTGGCTTTTTTATGCTGTGTGCTACCAGATCCTCGCGCTTCAAATCTGCGGCTGTGCATTCTATGGCTCCGTCGTCGAACTGCCAGGCTTTGTGAGTATAGAGGGGGCTATGGTTAGAGACACTGCCCAGATGCGGCGCTGTATCACTGCTTATATAGTTCGAATGAAGCATGACTTGCACGGTACTCCCTACAAGTGACCAAATTACTTGTTATCGACTATTTTTGAAGTAATTTTGTAATAATTGTATTACTCCATAAGGAAGCAATGCCAAGAATAATCGGATTACATTTGGAAGTGCAAACATTACTTGCAACGGTTACTATTTTCCCTCTCTCCCTTCTAACGGCGGCCTTTGATTCTACAAGTTCCCTACCAAGAAGTCCTCGAACGAAGCCTCTGGGAAGAGGACGGTTTATCAAAAATTGTGGATTAAGATGATGAGTAGCTTATGATTCCGTGATTTTGATCCAGCCATGGGCAGTACGAAAGACCAGTTCTCAAACCGCCAGAAAAATCCGTCATTTTCAAAATCTGACGAATGCTCGAGTTATTATCGTCAGAGAAGCACGTGTGATATATAACTTATCATTAACGTACCGTCTTATTAGGGAGTTGCAGTAGATCGTTTTTCCCCTCCGCTACGATATCCGCCAAGAAAATGTCGCAGCTGCGCATGCGCGCCGCCAGCCTTCTCTGCATAGTTCAGGGTCTTGTGGCGGATTACGGAGTGCTATCCAGGTGCTTAGCGGGCTGCGGAAACTATCTACTACAACTCCCTACTAACGAAATCCGTCACGCCACGTCGTAGTGAACGCTCTAAATTAAAAAAAAAAGGAAAGTGTGGTATATTCCGTACGTGTACATAGTCCGCAATGCGTAATATTTCAGTCTTTAGACATGTTTAGTCCGGAACATAGGGTAGCTCAAAATCAACGCTGCGTTGTGCGTGCGTCTAATCAAGAAAAGACGAGGTCACATCTAATGGAACGCTGATACAACGCTGATAGGTACGCGGAGAGCAAGTCGCCTGCTTCTTGCGCAGGGGTTGCAGTGACGTCAAAACGACGCCAACTTCTGATTGGCTTTGCTTGGAAGGATAGTGGGTACACCTCAATGCTAGATGCCTTGAAACGTCTACCCACTATTTCTTCTCTTCAATCAGCCAATAAGAGTTCGGCGTTCTGACATTATCGCAACCCGTGTGTATTAAGCAGACGAACTTGCGCTCCATACACCCGGACAGCTCTCAAGTTTTGAGAAGGGCCCTTGGCGAGCAAAATCGGATATTTGTAGGTCGCGGTTCCGTCGTGCGTTTTGTTGCGTCGTGTCAAACTCTCTGTTAAAGCCTGTGAGTAGACTCTGAGGGACGCTGACAGACGCTTGTTTACGCCTATGGATAGCACCTTATGGGACGCTAGGAGGCCGCTTCACGTCAGCAGTAAATGGTCTCGTCTGGCAGACGCTAGCGGAGGTATGGTGCCTGGAACGCGTCTCCGACTGGTGTGTTTACCGCGTCCAAAAAAAAAAAAAAGTGGACCCTCAGTTTTTGTTTGATGACGTCATAGATGTGTCATCCAACAGCAGGGCATTCCGTCTTTTCTGACGTCATTTGCTGCCCCTCCTGGACATCTTTTGATGTGTGGGCAACCTTGGACGCTAAGCACACCGTGTTAGGCTAAGTAGCGCAAGCTGCCGCCCGTTGCAAAGGGTATAGCCATTACCATCCATCCTTCCATCCATCCGGTCAGAGACTCGCACCGGACAGCATATACAGATGTGCGTCGTGGAAGCTACAGCGCCCCCTGACCGAAAGAAACAGGCCTATAGCAGAAAGTCAGAGCTGTGTCTCTGCCGCTGAGTTCGCGCTGCTGTATATACGGGCTCGAACTGATTAAATGAGTGCGACTGCAAGCGGTTCAATCGGCGTGTTCGATACCCAAAAAAAAAAACCTTATTTCTTGACTTCATTTTTGTTTTCCCTGGGGCTCCCGTTGCAGCTCTATAATCCGCCGTCTCACATGATGCCCCCGGACGGCTTCGGAGAGATTCCCGGCGTCAACACGCATACCCAGGTCTAGCTGCGGGAGGGGGATCAAGGATCGCCGACGACGACGACTCAAGAGGCGAGACAAATCCGCTCCCCGAATCGATGCGTCTAGACTCGGGGGCGGACAGGACGAGACGCCGAGTTGGTCTAACTGGAACAATGTCGTCTCCGCCACTCGGACAAAAAAGAACAAAGAAACCCAACAAAACTCCACTTCGAATGCCCTCCCCTATCTTGCGCCGAAAAGTCTGACATCGCCGCCGTGTTCGCGCCACGAGGGCGGACAGAAACTGAGGGCACTGAGGTGTCCGCTGCCACGACGAAACTTTGTACGCTGTTGTTTTGCTTCGTGTGTTTGCTTGTTTGTTTGTTTGCTCCCTCGAAGTGTTTGTTTTTTCCACTTTAGTGGCACATTAAAATAGTCGCATGTGTCCAGAGGCAAGCAAGGATGGTTCACACACTTGCGACCGCTTATGACCGAGTGCCTTACAACCTCTAATGATATCTTGCGGCCAGAGTGTACACAGGCTCCATCTATCGGGTAACCTTCGAACACTAGCAATTTCTGTATATTTCTTATTTATCTCGTGCACCGTTCCTTGTTGTTGTTGTTGTTTTTTTTAGCTTGAAAAACTTTGGACGATGTTCTTAACGACCATTTTTTCATAGATAGCGTGCACATTTGATCTCGCAGATATACTCCAAAAAACCGTCGCCCTAGACGAATGCAGTTCCAGGGCCACCTCATAGGTGGAGCCAGCGTTCAGCGTCTTCTTTCCTCGTAAGACATCCTAAAAATCTCGGTCGTAAGCAAACGCAAGTGTGCGAACCTGCCCTTTAAGTATACTGTGTTCGCAAGTCCTCATTGGACAGGTCCATAGCTTGACAAGAAAATGTGTTCCAGTAGGCGGTTGGCATTGCAAATCAACTATTGCTACCGACAGGATAAGAACTGTAGGGCGGACCTTCACTTGTTCCGCCTCCAGCGCGAGCATCTTACCTTCGGTAACCAAAGCCTCCTCTATACTTACAAAGCCTGGCAGTTCGACGACGGAGCCATAGAGTGATCGGTCGCAGACTTGGGGCACTAGGATCTGGTAGCACAGAGTATCAAAGATTCATTTCTCGAGGAACCTGGACGTCAGCGCACAGCTATTGCAGCGGCGAGGACCCGAAACACGCTTGTTCGCTCGGGAGAAGTGTGTTTCGGCGTCTCGCCGCAGCGGGGCGCCAGTCACGTGTCTTTCCTCTCATCCGTTGTCTGCCGCTCCACCTTTTCCATTTTGGCGGCCGCTCTCGCGGCGATCTGCCATGCTTTTTCAGTGTGTAGAAGGCTATGCGGTAACGCATTCCGTGACGCTAGAAGGTGGGCACGCAGCGTGAGAAAAGCTGCCCTGTCGCTTTCATCTTGTCAGTGACTACAGCTAGGCTCCCCTTGTCCCAAGAGAGCGTGGCTTGAACCTAGGGAGGCTGAAACAGCAGAAGATGCAGTCGCCGACAAAATTAGATGGAACTGACCAGCGTGTACGCCGTGTTCGGATGCCTCCTTGCTCGTGTGTGCATGAAGGCTGTATGGTTCTTTTTGCCTGGTGACTAGTACCCAGTGTTGCACGGACTTATTACTTTTACGAGGAAACGGAAAAAAACGGCGTTTCTTTTTTTATTTTTTGCTTATAATTTTACTCGAATTCAGTAGGCATTTGGGCTCTTCATCAACGGCTATTTCAGCGTCTCACTTGAAGGGATGGGGAATTGCCCGAGAGAGAGTCGAAAACAATGAACTGGAACAAATGTGATCGTAGCGACTCGACACGTGCTTTGATTGTTTTTCACTCGGTCGCTTTATTATATTTATAGATTATTCGGCACAATATTTCATCAAATTAGGTAAATGTTACGTTCTTGTAAATAAACGTCGCAAATCTTATAAGCGTCACGTGCACGCGTTCCTTTCGACCCGTTGGAACTTGTAATGGAAAATCGTTCGAACATTGAAAAGGGAACGAGTAACGAGCTTTCTTTCCTGTTTTGGAGGAACATGTTCCACACTGCTAGTACAACCTGATGGCGATTAATGGGAGCTCTATCCAACTGAAAGATTAATTCTATGCCGAAAATACAGCACTCGTGTAAGCACAAGCCGTGTGGTCAGTCGCTGACGTGCGCGACGAAGCAAGTTCTTACTCTCCAAGACTGTCAAAAGTTGTACGAAGCTGGGCAGTCAACCTCCAAATTAACAAGCAAAATGTGGTTGAAGATGAACAGTCCTTTGTCTTGCGCTCTAGTGTGTAAGACGTAATGTCTATGTTACTTCGGAATTTCAAAACGTAGATTATTCCGCGCGCATCTTTCTTCAGTCCCTCTTTTTAACCTATATTCGTCAACTTGAGGGGTAAAAATTGGCCGTTTTAAATCGCCATCTTTCTTTTAATATATATATATATATATATATATTTTTTTTTTATGAATATGCGATTGTAAGTGAGGCATAACTCACGAAATTGTTTTTTTACCTTAGTTTTCGTCGGCCAGTTTCTACTTCCAGCATGCGCTCTATTCGGGCTAAATATAAGTTTCGCTCAATATACAGTTAATTAACAAATTAACGAAAAAGTAGATGTCTTTCCATTCGGAAGTGTTTGAAGTCGAATACATCAACACTTTTAGAGTCACTGATCTTTTTTTTTTTCTAAAATGGAAGGCTTACATTGGTGGTAACACATTTTCCCATGGAACACATCAAGTCTAAGCCATATTATGGAGGACCGAAGCTTTGCTTTGAAACGTGCTAATTTAACGACCAAAGAAGTGCGCTTCATACGCACCCTGCTGTAAACGACCGTAGAAAATTTTTAATTTAACGACCGTAGCAGCCAAATTGAAAAGGAAACACCTGAATTCGAGCGCTGATTTCAAATTCAGAACTCCACTTCTTTAGACCCGCAGTCGTTGTAAATTAAGATTTCCCATTCATAATGCTTGTTCTGCTGAACTCTGCACCGTTTTTTTGTTTGTTTTTTTATGTACTGACAGTTAAGGTTATCGTGTACTAGCCCCCGTCCTTTCTACTGTGAAAATGCTAATTTTCGATCGTACCGGAACGTGTGTTTAGATTCACGAGTGCTTGCCTCTTTCCTAAGGCATTCTGTTAAAGAAAGGGGCATTTTCGAGGCAGTTTCAAACGCCAGCAGTCTTGAGAGAATCTAGGAAAATACCCGTTATTACTACCAGAAATACGGCTCGCAATTGTTTTCCGAGACGGCCGAACATCTCTGTCTGCTCGCGCCATTCCGAAGTCGCCTGTATGCATCACTCGTTACGAAAATGTTTCAGGATTATGGAACAAGAAAACGTTGTTGTTGTCAATCCTCGCTTTCAGTACTATTTAGAGTTTATTGGTGAGTACATGACTGAGTGCGCGTGCGTGGGAGCCTTGCGTGTGCTAACTTGTAACGACTAACCCCTAAAACTTTTTGCGCCAAAAAAAAATCTCAACTCTATTCAAATTGAACAAGTCCAACTATGGCGGCTTCAGTTAGGAATTCTGTGAAAACGTGAATGAGACCCCAGTGTTGTTCCACCCCCTATTTATACTTATATATACGATGCGATGTGCTCAAATATTACGCTCATACGTAGAAATACAAACTTGCCACGAGCACGGTTTGCTTGTTTGTTTTTTCGCTTGTTTTTAGCATAAAACCTTGTTAGGTAGCTCGAGGAGCCTCTTCGAACAAAGCGGCGCCGTTAAACTGCTGCAAAAAGCAAAACACGGGTGCTATGCGTACACAACAACAACAAAAAAAAACATTCCAACTTTTTTTTTTGTCTTTTTTTTTTTTTGTACATTGGAGAAGGTGTTCATGTAATGACTGCTGCGTGAAACTATAAACCGTCGGGAAGGGGAGAAAACACTCCTGACATGAGTTTGTCGATTAATTATACTATGTCCCCGTAATCCCCATTCGATCTAAGCTACAACAAGCAACACTGAGGAGAAAGGTCTAGCCTTCACTGGTAACAGGGAATGGGGGTCAAGTAAGTCCGACTGCCAAGGAAACACGAAGTAACAAAAGACGTGAGAAAAAACACTGGGAATATAGTAGAAAAATATATAATTACGAATTAGTTTAGCACTAAATCTCGCCATTAATTTTCAGCTAACAACATAATGTAGTATTAATAAAGCTATCCGGATGAACATTTTAGGAACGATAGTACTTGGTGTGTTTAATCGTTATAATAGTTTTGAACACATCCATGTCCACTGTGCGCTCGAGCTTTTCTTTCTTTTTTTTGTGTTATTCCTAAAGTGTTGTTTTAGACCTCCGACTAATTTTTTGATAATTTTATACGTATCTTAACGTGCCAAAACTACTTACGTGATTGAGAAAACCTTCAGACAATGACTCCGGTAGTGGAGACTTTTAAGGCCATGGGAAGCAGCCATTTGACGCCCGTGCTTTCACAGCATAGATTGAATGTACCCGTATCTTTTTATCGTCGTTTTTACGTCGTTTTTAGGTCGTCCCCACGTCGTCTCTACATTGTTCCGAAAGTCGCGGTGCTCCATCATGACACCCACAGATCCTCCAATGCACAGTGAAAAAAAGACAGCGAGCGGCTGTTATGTACTCTGTGTAAATGTGCGCTTAGATATGCGAGCCTGAAAGTGTAGTATCTTGTGCGTGCATTTTCTCCCTTGTTTTGTTGAATGAATAATGAATCTTGTTTTAAATGTAAATGAGAGTTCGAATCCTGTGAAAACCATCTTTAGACGTAATATAGGTGTGATCATTTCACTGATTGTCAAGCCGTTATTCATAGTAGAGACCTATCCCGTGTTACAGCAGTTATCTCTTCAATGACAGTTACGTAAGCTATATTACGAGGGGAGTTATTATGACAAATTTTTAATGAGGTTGTCTCGACGTTTTCGAGGACTAATTTCAAATATGTGGCTTCACGCTTTTCTAACTTGAGGGCATCCGAATACTTACGTTACAAACCACGTTCACGAAAGTGAAAAAC